ATGATCCCATGTATATGGATATATACATATCAAAACATGGTGGAAGATATCCATGTCAGTAATAATTACATATTTTATAACATGCACAATGTGATAATAAATACCTGTGACGTAGAATAGGGGTGATTCACTTACCCATAATACTGCATTAAATATTAAACTAAAGCCGAAAACACGTCCTAGAAACAGCTATCAAATCGTTCAAAAATATTCTCAAAATTCAATGTAAGATGATTATCGCGCGTACTAGTTTTGGAACATAGACGCAGACGCGGCAATATAATTTGCATATGAATAGCGCACATTAACCTACTCTTCGATAAACAACAGTTCGCTATTTAAAACATAATTTTTTGCATCTTATTACTATTTTACTATGCAGGTGATAAATAGATAATTGTCTGCGGCTCAGAGTAAATACACACACTGACTGTAATCACTCACTCATATGACAAACTAACAGACAATATTGTGAGATTATCCATAAGTATATGTTTGATATATAAAACATCCATGAATGCTACTTAGTACTTGCATATTGTTTTACTGCCCAAACAATGAGCCATGAATCAGTTACCTTTTGACCAAAGTGTGCAGCACAGTGATACTTTCCAGTTATCAAATCAAAATGGGGTCGGTGACCATGATCAGTTTTTTACAGGCTTGATAATATTTGTTTGTGATAAACAAAAACGTTTTTTTGTCAAAAAAATTAAAATTAATTGATATTGTACAGCATAACCTGAAAACTAGGATAATTAGAATGGCGGCCATTTTAATGACGTCATTTGATAATGTTGCCATAGAGGTAATTTTGGTATTTTTTGTTTTTGTTTATTCTGTACCCATACTTTAATAAAAATTAAAATTTGCTGGTAGTACTCCACTTGCCAACCCACCTCTAAATGCTGGCCTAATCTGCAGGCCAATAGAGCATGTAGGGCAAAATCTAGAATCTATCCAACTCACAATGAGCTGGTTGTACCTTTGTCTCACTATGCCTGGATTCTATCTGATATATGTCGATGTAAATAGTACTTGGTAAATGTTCCACCTGTAGAAGATGACATTCTGAATTTGACAATGCTGATATTTTGACTTCAGTCAATACATCCCTGAATAAAAAGGACACACATCAAGTTAGAAGTCTACTAATGTCTAGATTAATTCTGTCAAATCAAATCTGCTTTAAGTCAACACAATGCATTTTGGGGCTATCAGACTATGATTCAAATTACACACAACTCTATATAATGATCATTTTAGGTAATGCTTGTAGATTAGAATTTTGAGTTGTTTCTTGTTAATACAGACACTGAAGCAACAAGAACTATACATAGTCGTGTTCTTTCGTAAAACTGGTTCAATTGGACGAAAACTGGACAAATCTGTTGGATGTGTGAAGTATAAACTTGATCAGTCCAGGCATGTTAGATACATATATTGATGTAGATACTAACATAAACTTCACATTCAAGTGAATCAGTTGCCATAGTTACCTGTGAAATCCATTATTAGATGATTTTCTTTGTACATCTATGACTTCCACATTCTCAATACATTGAACTTTTCGATTACCTGAAATGCAATATGGATCATATATTGAATTATCTGTTTTGTCAGCAGAATGGTTTTCTTTTATTTTCGTACATGTAAGATTATCTTTTTAATTTTATTGGAGACATTATAAATGTTATATAAATATGCTGTAAGATTTCCAATCTAAGAATGTAACTTTATTATGAGTTCTAATTAATACAAGTCATTGTTAATGACATGCACGTAGTCTTTGTATGTATTATAGACATGAGATATTACATAACTACCGGAGTGATATCAATATCAACCTACATGTATGAGATGCGGCTACAATTGTTTAAACAATTAATTTGGCCGCCAGTTTTATTTGATGGAAATAAAAATGCAGTGTGGATCCAATATGATGTCTGATGTATGTGTAAAGATTCAAGTTTCAGGCCATATTGAACTTGGGAGAAAAATAAAATAATGTGTATCAATGAATGTACCATGCATGACTGAGACTCGGTTCTGAAATAGTGAAAATGTACTGTGATTTTGATGCATTTTTGGTCTTAAAATTGCTGCTATTCAGCGATCTTTAATCAGATCATGAAATAGATGCATGTGCATTTCCACTCGTTTTATTTCAGATAAAGGTAATATAAGTCGATCAAGTTGTGTGAAGCAGGGCGAAATATAAGTTTGAAAATCGTGTTATTTTCAAACAATTTTAATGTCATGGTGGAAAAGTTTTTCTACCTTGTGTTATTATATGAGTGGTTGGCGAATGTACCGGTGACTGAATAGTCAGTATACCGACCCTACTTTAGCTTCTTTTTATTCAAGAAATGTTCCGAGCACCTGTGGGTGAAACGGAATACTATTGTAGGGTTCAAGCCCTATGTTCCGAAATGATATAAAGTAGCAGAAAATAAAAATATACACCCTAACGGCCTACGAGAATGGTAAACAGGACTTGAATTGCTACTTTCTAAGCAGAGGTTCGGCTCCCGCTGATTTTTGATGTGTTTTAGACGATTTTGTTGGGCTTTCTATACCAAGCTTTGTATTTTGTACCTTTTTTAAGTCCACAGACCAGGAAGAAAACAATAAAAAATAGTGAGCCCGAATAAACCAAGAAAACAGCTGCAGCCGAACCTTCGCTTGGATAGCACCTGTTTTCAACTTGTTTACACCACCAAGTCTTCTACAGTCAAAGAAATTGTAACAAATGGAAAATCATTGTTATTAACCATGCTTTGTATGTTAAGTTAATGTTAAATTAGATTTCGTAATAAATGTTAGTTTTCTGTCTTCTCTATCTTTATGGCGTGCTCATGACAGTTGTGGACACCCCAGTTGATGTCACTAGTGTATCAAATCAGTACAGCCTAAACAATATTAATTGTGTAATATCCAACTGTATGTACAACATGTAGTATTGTGTAATATCCAACTGTATGTACTACATGTAGTATTGTGTAATATCCAACTGTATGTACTACATGTACATGTAGTATTGTGTAATATCCAACTGTATGTACTACATGTAGTATTGTGTAATATCCAACTGTATGTACTACATGTAGTATTGTGTAATATCCAACTGTATGTACTACATGTACATGTAGTATTGTGTAATATCCAACTGTATGTACTACATGTAGTATTGTGTAATATCCAACTGTATGTACTACATGTAGTATTGTGTTTCATCAATATTACGTATCAAGTTTGTCGCATAGGGTTGAGTTAGATGCGAAATATGTCCTTTATGGCGTAGCTGGTCACCGTGATCGTCACCGCCACCAGCGCACATTAGTACAATGTCACTGGACCCCGGCACTGGACAATATTCAAGTTTATAAAAAGTTAGAAGGAACTACAACGGGGTTGGTGTGGACTGCACAATTACTGATATGGTAGTCAGTCAAAGCTATGAATAAAGTCTCGAGACTTTTGCATCTGGTGTAAAGAAAGTCTTCAGATTTTTGTATTATCGGAAGACAAAATTGTGAGAAAATCATATATTTGAACGTAATATTCTTTATAAAACCAGAAGTCCAACAGTCAGACTTGACACATACTTATTAGCGTATAACTAGTTGAAGTACGTTAACATAACATAAAAAAGTCATAATACATTGAGTGTTTATATACCCTCGTGGGGATTCTGAACTTGAGCGGAAACTTTGATACAGAAATGTGGTTCAAAGTCTTATCGAGACTGGCAAAATCAGGACTTCTTTTTTGTTTTAAAAAAAAAAAAATTAATTGTCCGTTTAACCTTTTCGCGTGATTGCGAAAACTAGTGTGACCACGAAAGAAGGATTTCTTTCGCTGTCACGTTAGTTTTCGTGATCAAGCTAAAAAGACTTAAAACAATTATTACTTTTTGTAAAACAAAAAAGAAGTCCCGACTTTGCCAGTCTAGGTCTTATCCTGTTTTGTTACATTCAAACTTAGGCAGTATGAACAATGTGTATAGCAGCATATTAAATGATACAATATCAGTAATAATAAACGATACAATATCAGTAATAATAAACGATACAATATCAGTAATAATAAACGATACAATATCAGTAATAATAAACGATACAATATCAGTAATAATAAACCTTTCCATATATATATCCAACAACAAAAAAATCTTGAAAAATCACTAAATTTGTTTGGAAAAATTTACATGAAAAAAATTTTTTATTTCGTTACAAGGAAGTATGAAGAGTTTCTGTAGGGAGGTTTTATAATAAAAAGAAGTACAACATATCTGAAACATAGGTGTGGTATATGAATGTCATTGAGTGTGAGATTATCACACTGCGACACATCCGGGACCATTCGGAAGTCCTGGTAGAGCTCGTCTCCACTGAACTCTAATGACCTCGCCAATTTGATAGCATCATAACGCAAATGTTGATTAACCACTTGGCGGGGAAATAAACAAAATACACCGTGACGCAATTGCAGAATAAAAACACGTTATTCAATAGTAACACAAGATGTATATGCCATTACAAAGGGAACCATGTAACGTAATTTTTATGTGGAAGGCGGTCACCAAATGGCGCTTATTCACAAGAAATTTGCAATGTTCTCTATACCTCCAATGTTCGCTAGTGTCAGAATCATTTAGTACATTGGATCTCAGACATAAGGATTTCGGAACATAGGGATTTCGGAACATAGGGATTTCGGAACATAGGGATTTTGGAACATAGGGATTTTGGAACATAGGGCTTTCGTAACATAGGAATTTTGGAACATAGGGCGATCACCCTATTGTAGCCCCATCCTTACCTTAAATCAAACTCGAACCATGGACATACTAGAGATGAACGCTGCACGGTGATTCACACCTGATAAGACACATTATCTTTCTATTGTACTCATCTTAAATTTAGAAATAGGCAGACGTACTTTTATCTTGGCTGAGTTGTCGCCCAATCTTACCGTAGTTTTGATTTTTCAAGACAAGATTTGAATCTTAAATTTTATATTATATTGGGTCAAAAAAATAAATACAGACCTTGCCCGAGAGCTGGTGCAATGTTAAGTTGTAAATCGAAGGTTTAACGCAGATCCGTATATTCTAGGCAAGTTTACGAGCTTGTTTGTACTGATCTTCTACATTTGTTAATAATTTTAATATAATATTGCCAGCAAACCCGGTGTGAGCGGATGATGATTTTTTATCCGATGTTCAATTCAAGGGAAATTTACAGATGGCGCAAAGCTTGAAATGTTAAACATGGACTTCTTTAACATTAGCTTTCATGTTTATGGTGGGCTCTCGCGAGAAACAATACTGCTGTTCGTCCTCTTCAGGGACGGCTGAGACGACAGTTTCAATGTCCTCAATATCAAAATCATTATCGTCTAGTTCTAAAATGTCGGGATCAACAAAATCCGAACTGAAACCAAACTTTCTCTGTTTGTCGCCATTTTGTTTTTTCTCTTGATGATCGTAAACAGATCGTTGGGGGTGTTCGGGACAAAACGAAGATGAACCGAGCTATAATCGGGCGTGTTCGTGATCGTTTCCCGTGGACAGGAAATTATGCAGACACGATCAGGATTAACAGTAATCTAGTGGCAGCAACGCACATACGTCAAAGCGAGTAAACACCGTGCAGCGTCCATCTCTAGTACGTCCATGCCCTAACACACCAACCCCCAATTCATTGTTAATGTCTCTCCAGATACCTATAGGTGTCATCAAAAGGTGTAGAGTGGAAAACCCGGAATGTGAAAACTATGGAAACATGGAAAGTAAAAAATACTGTCATATATTAGAAACGAACGAATGTTAATAAATTCATGTGTTTTTCAGTTTCAATTAAAGCCTTACAAGCTTTATTAACATACTAGGCACAGAGAATACTGTCATGCTAAAATGTCTAGCAAAATAAATATACGAATGTTTTAACATAAGATAAAGCAAATTAAAAAAAACAGCTGCCTCACAGATATCTAAATAAGTAATCATTAACATTTACTTTGCATTTCAAACCCACTTTCGGGCAAGTTTGTTGTTTTAGTTGTGTTTAGTTTAGTTTTTTTATACTAGTGTATCTTCTTCTTTTTTATTCTGAATGTTTCTGACATGGAATAACAATCATGCTTTATTGTACTTAGATCTATGTTCATTTTTAGGATACGACTTCAATAAAGACGATTACATAAAAAACAAGCTCGAATCAACGAATGGTGTCGGACATCATTTTTTACTTTCCATGTTTCCACATTCGGGTTTTCCACTCTACGCTCAAAAGGGGCATATGCAATTATGGGGGGGGGGGTTACTGAGGTCGGATGAGTTTAGATGAGGAGGTGAATGGAAAGTCTTTCCGTAGAACCCTAAAGAGCTACATTAAATGTCAACTTGACAACATTAAAACTCTGACTGATCTAGTAACAATGCCGACTACCTTTTAAATCTGGGTTCGATTGCCGGTTGACAACATGCTGACTGGCACATTGGACTTGCATAATTGTGAAAGACAACAGCGTAAACAATAATATAGTGCCGCGAAATAACATCATGTTTTTTGAGTGGGCGCCGCCATTTTGACCGACATTCTAACGAAACATCGCCCTCTGGCGATATCTTTGTAACTGCAATCATAATCACTGAGAACTCGGCAGATGTGTCAGTTCTAAAACAATACTCGTTCAATTGATAAA